AATGAGGACCTAATGCCGGGGGGTTTAAGTGGAGAGAAAATGTTTTGAGAATGATGTACAAATGCGCTTTACACACACACACACAAAAAAAGAAAGAAAATTGTTTCTGAATATGCATAATACCTAAAATACTATCAACTAATACCATAGCAAAGTTCCTTGACCACCAAGAGAGAGTAACTCAGAGATGCCAGGGATAAGCCGGAGGACCTGGGGGATCAGGCCACATGGAGCTACCTGCAGATGTGTTCCAAGACACACCCAAACCTCCAACACAACTGGGCAGAAGGTAAGCTACCCAAAGGCTGAGATACACAAAACCAGAGATTCCCTCTCCCACACACTCCCAGGAGCAGGGCAACTGTGTACAGGTTGGTGAGCTGTTTTCCTTTGACTCGCCCATATTCTGAGTGTGACCTTTTGCCCAGTTTTAGAAGCCAAGTGAGCCTGGATAGGCAGGGGCGGGGCTTGCTGGTACAGAAACCTCCCAGCTATATAAAATCAGATGGAGCTGTGCTAGGCATCTCTCTCCAGGGCTCTCTGCTGCCTGGCTTTTGCTCATTCCACTGAAAATGCAGCGGCTGTTGACTCCAGTGAAGCGGGCCTTGCATGTCAAAAGGGTACTGCAGAAAGCTTCTCTCACTCCGGCTTACCTACTGCCAGCAGTCCACCAAAAGTAAGTCCCATCACCCTGGGAAACTGCACAGGTCACTCTCTGAGAGGCCTTATGGAACCAGTGAGCAACAGGTAGGTGATGTGTAATAAGAACAACCCACTAGAATATTGGTCAGAAGTTGGCAAAGATGTGGCACAGGCTTAGGTGAGCAAGTTACCTTGTCAGGTTCTCTCTTCCCCTCTTTCTGAACAGACAGTTTCTCTCAGCTTTAGAACCCCAGGATCCCAAAGCTCTGGCACCTGCTGTGTTGCAAAATGCCAGCACCTTTCACATCCCCACCACATAGGGTAGTGGGAATATCTAATTTTCAGACTGTGTGTACTTTTCACGATGAGCTGTTTGTAAGCCATTCTTAGTTAGGACGAAGTTATTCCAGAAGACTGGACATCGCAGTTATGTTATTCCTAAAAAGTGATGTATGTGAGAAAGTGTGATAAGGGAAAAGAAGGGGGAGTGGGGGTGGGAGAAGGAACACAGACACACACACACACACACACACACACACACACCAGCAGTTAGTGGTATGATCTGTGAGCTTCGACCACCTTCAACACGAATCTCCAATCAGCATAAACATCTTAAGAACTGACCATCACAGTAGCTCACTGCAGCCTGCCTGATTGCTGGCGGATTGGTCTTCTGTGGTTTCTGTTGGTGCAAGGGGTCCCCTACAGCTCTTACAGCAGAGGTAAACACATGGTTTTGTTCATTGTCAAGGAAGTTCAAGTGGATGAGTTTGGAGTTTTGAAATGTTTCTTTTCTTTCTCCCCTCAAAGCACTGGGGGTTAAGATACAAATGAAAGATAAAAATCTTCAAGAAGCAGTCCATATTCTGAATGTAGTTCTCATTCCCACACCAGTGTCTATACTATAAATAGTTGGGGTTATTGCTACATTTCTGAGATTTGCGGCTCCTTATAAAAACTCCAAGTGAGGGGTTTTATTTGCTGCAGAATCCAGCTGCCAGCGCTAAGGTGCCAGCCAAACTCTTCAGACCACCCCAGTAAGAAGCCGAGTGGTGTAGGTCTAGTTCCCAGGTTCCATGATGCTCTCCTTTCCACCGCCATTCCCACCTCTACTCTTAGGCTTTACCAATCCCTCAGGAATCTATGCCAACAGGTGTGTAAGTAAATCAAGTGACTTTAAGTCACTGCTGCAAGATTTGAGGCGCACTGTGCGTGCAAAGTCTCTTTCCCCTTTGCTTTAACTGTACGAAGGTAGGAAATGAGGTAGAAAGACAAGAATGTGTAAGAGGCAGAAGAAGAGTGAGCATGATGGTGGGGCAGGAGGAAGGTAAAAGGGAATAGAGGAAAGATCTAAGAAGCAAAGCTATGGAATACAGGCATAAACACAGTTGTGCATTTATGCAAATGTATTACTTCATAAAATAGAGGTGTTGGCCTACATACATGTATTTATATGGCAATGCGTTGAGGAAGGGGATGAACTTTGAGCCTTCTGCTCAAGCCCTCCCTCAACACGAGAACACTTTGTTCTAACAACCTGGCATTCTGTGATGCTCACCCTCCTGACACATTTGCTGAAGACAAAATGGGTGCATAAGCAAATATGGTGAAGAAAGCTGTTGGTGCCCAGTTATCAAAAGATATAGCCTCTGGGGTCTTAAAGGCTTGAAGTTAAACAAGCAGCCATCTAGCAGAGAAGCAACAAGCCCACATGGAAAAAGTACACCAGCCTGTGTGATCATCAGGGATCAACGGAATCAGGTAACAGGCACCAGAAGACCCCAAACAAAAAACATATTATTGAGAATGAGTGGCACCAGAGCAGAGACCCAAATCCCATCTGTAGACCATAGGACATCCCCTCACAGAAGGGTCACAAGGAAGGGATGAGTCAACCAGGGTGCAGTATAGCCCCAATGAAACACAATATTCTTCTGGTTATTTGAGGCTTCCCCACCCCCAACTATCATGATCCAGTCCTGCCTTTCAGTTCTGGCTAGACCAGAGCCTGTACACTAGCGCAGTTAAGGGCTCAGGACACACGGAATCCAGGTCAGATAAACCCCTCAGGAACAGAATTAGGAGTAGCAATACCAGGAGAATAGGGAGAAGGGGAGGGGGGGACTGGTAGGGAGGAAGAGGGGACCAATCACAATGATAGATGAATAATCCCCATCCCCCCGGTTGTTGAACAATAGAAATGTGGGTGAAGGGAGATAGTGGTTGGTGTAACACATGAAAACAAGAATAATTCATAAGCTATCAAGGGGTCAAGAGGGTGAGAGGGAGGAACTGATAAAGGCTCAAATAGAAAGTAATGTTTAGAAAATGATGATGGCAATATATGTACAAATATGCTTTAAACAATTGATGGGGGAGCGGGGAAAAATGAGGAGCTGATACCAAGGGCTCAAGTAGAAAGCAAACATTTTGAGAATGATGATGACAACAAATGTACAAATGTGCTTGACACAATGGATGGATGTACGGATTGTGATAAGAGCTGTATGAGCCCCCAATGAAATGATTTTTAAAAATTGATGTATGGGATGTTATAAGAGCTGTATGAGCCCCCAATGAAATGATTTTAATAAATAAAGATGAGGAAAGGAGGAGCAGGAAAACTGGAGGGTGGAAACCAGGGAAAGAGGGTGGAAACCAGGGAAAGAGGGGGGAACCAGGGAAAGAGGGGGGAAACCAGGGAAAGAGGTGGAACCAGGGAAAGAGGGGAGAACCAGGGAAAGAGGGGGGAAATGAGAGTGCTGACACATTGCAAAGAGAGCAATCAAATCATGGAATAATCTGTGTATAAACGGTTGTTGAATAGGAAACACATTTGCTGTATGAATTTTCACCTAAACCATAATAAAAATGTTTGAAATAAATTAATAACACATGGGAAGCAATAGAAAAGGGAAAGGCAAAAACAACAACTGTGAACCTTGCTATAATCATTTGAAAGATTAATTTGATGCTGTTTAAGGAGCACTTGTAGCAAATGGGTTGATGCTCAACTGTTAAGCTGAAGACCGACTGTTAAGCTCAAACCCACTCAGTGGCTCCACAGGAAGAAAAGATCTAGTAAAATCTATTGCCATAGAGATGGCACCCTCGGAAACCCTATGGGACAGTCTCCTCTGTCATATAGGGTTGTTATGGGTCGGAGCCAACTCAAAGATATGCACAAGCATATGTGCTTTACAAGAGACATATAAGGACTCTGATAGGCTGAAACTATAAATGAAAGGGGGGAAATGTGCCATATTATACTAATGAAAAATCTAGTGCTTTAAAGTTTATAGGGGTACACTTTAAAGCAAGAATGACTATACCACAAGCAGGGGCATTTCATCAGGATAAAGGGTCATTTGAACAGATAAAGCCATCATAAATGTGTATGCATCTGATAGCATATTTTAAAAATATGTTGATTGTTGTATTCCTGTCATCTCCACTATAGGTTTTCTACCGTCTCTGCTGTGCCCTTGGCCAAAACCAATAATTGGCCAAAGGATGTGGGCATCCTTGCCCTGGAAGTCTACTTTCCAGCCCAGTATGTGGATCAAACTGACCTGGAGAAGTACAACAAAGTAGAAGCAGGAAAATACACAGTGGGCTTGGGCCAGACCCAAATGGGCTTCTGCTCAGTCCAAGAAGATATCAACTCCTTGTGCTTGACAGTGGTGCAGCGGCTGATGGAGCGCACACAGATCCCATGGGACGCTGTTGGCCGCCTGGAGGTGGGCACTGAGACCATCATTGACAAATCCAAGTCTGTCAAAACAGTGCTCATGGAGCTTTTCCAGGATTCAGGAAACACAGACGTGGAGGGCATAGATACCATCAATGCCTGCTACGGTGGCACGGCCTCACTCTTTAATGCTGCCAACTGGATGGAGTCCAGTTCCTGGGATGGTATGTACTGCCAAGGCTCTTGTGTAAGAAAGGAGCTTGGGTTGGAGGCTGAATCCTATCAGGATTTTTTGTTTCTGTTTTTCCCTGTTTATTGGGAATTAGGTAGGGGGTTGCAATTCTGATTATCATTTTTGTTTTCAACAACCTCCCCAATAGCTTTCCCTGTGCCCACACCCTTGTTTTACTTCTCCCTCTTGTAGGTTGTTTATTAACGTCCCCCTCACCCACATTAACACCTGAACCTGGTGGTACAGTGGTTATGCGTCAGGCTGCTAATGCAAGGTCAGCAGTTCGAAACCACCAGCTGTTCCTCAGGAGAAATATGGGGCTTTTGACTCCTGTAAAGAGTTAAGAGTCTTGGAAACCTACAGCGGCACTTCTCCCCTGTCCTACAGGGTCACTCTGAGTCGGCCTCAAATTGATGGCAGGGAGTTAGTTTGTTACTTATCCTCTGGCCTATTGCTTCCTCCTCCCTCCCACGTGTGGAAACCACCGACATCTGGTTCTTTTGGTATGGAAACCTTGATCTTGATTTTTTTCCTTTTCTTTTATAGTAGTGATTGCATACAATAGTTGTCCTTTCCAGATTGGCCAACTACACTCAGCACACTGTCCTCCAAATCCATCCACCTCATTATTCTTAGCATTATTCTTTAGCAATGCATAATATTCCAATGTGTGCGTGTACCAAAGTTTGTTTATCCATTTTTCCACTGACGGGTACTTAGGTTGCTTCCATATACTTGCGACTGTGAATAGTGCTGAGATGAACATGGTATGGGGATAGCCTTGCTTTTTTTCTCAGAGTGTATATTAAGTAGGATGATTGCCGTTTGAAGAAATGCCGTGTCACCTTCTACAGTAATCCCATACGTTTTGCTTCTCTGTCCGCGAGGTGGCTCCTTTGGGGAGGGAAGGACAGTTCAGTCCTGTAGCCACTGCTCTTATCCAACAACTGTGAGAACAATAGCCACACGGAGTGGAATAGTTTTATACAATTAGGTAGCATATTTAGATAAGCTACCTACTTAATCTTTACAACCGTTTAGGAAGACAATATTATATCTAATTTATAAATGAGAACTCTGAGTGGCAGAACACCAAGCTACATTCATATGCTTCTCATCTTACTGTTTCTGTGTCTTAAACTTCTCCTAATGCTCCCATAGACAAGCTGTCGAGGTTGACACATTGAAGCAAATTTAGAGGTTAAGGTGAAGTGCTCCAATAGATACAGACCTGGAGAATCATAAGGTGGATTGTTATACAGACGTTTCCTCCTCGTTCTATCTAGCTGGTTCCTTGGAAATTGCCAATTGACTAAGGTTACCCTGTATCTTCCTTATAGCCATCTTCAATGCTGTGCTGAGAAAAGACTGTTAATGGCAAGAATTTAAGGAAACCATACAAAGTGTGACTTTAAAAACGTAGCTCTATCATTAATTATTGGCAAGATCCTTCTGTGAACCTTAGGGTTCTTATTTAACTACCTACCTTGCAGGGCCGTAAGATGATTGAATGAGATCACCCACAGAAATTTGAGAAAGAACGTTTTGGTAGACAAGTCCTTCCTTGTTTATACGAACCTAGAAACTAGACTGAGCCACCTAGAAACCATAATTGACCTTAATTACAAAGTTAGTTAACAAGTCATAACATTGAAAGGAAACGCCGTGTCCTTTACTTGTCGATGCGGAGCAAAGGTCTAGAGGAGTCCCCCAGCTGACCCTTGTCCATGCAGGAAGGCAGTGCAGTTCCAGAGTCCATTCAGTGCTTTCCAACTATCATTGATTTGACTGTTTCCGCTGATAGGTCATCAAGTCTCTGTTTTATTTTTCACTTTTTATTGTGAATTGGGTGGAGGTTTATAGTGCAAATCAGTGTTCCACTCAACATCCATTTTGTTTCATGTCATTGATTGCAATCCCCACAGGGTAACCTTCGTCATTTCACCTCTTTCCTATGTTTCCTGTTTCTAGTTGCCCTTCTTTGACAAACTTTCCTGCTTTCTGAACGTTGTCTTTAGGAAAATGCTGCCCTTTGATCTACAATGCGTACCTCCCTAGTGTTCATCTTATAGACCTGTCTAGTGTTTGGCTAAGAGCGCTGGTCGAGTAATGGATTACGGGTTGGGCTGCTAATTTCAAGGTCAGCCGTTCAAAGCCACCAGTCTCTCCATGGAAGAAAAATGAAACTTTCTGCTCCCACAGAAATTTATAGCCTTGGAAACCCCTATGGGCAGTTCTATTTTGTCCTATAGGGCCACATTGATTCAATGACTGTTATTTTTTGGTTGTGTTTTGGGGGGCTTTGTTTGTTTATTGTTTGTAAAAGTGAGCCACACAAGTGAGTTCGGTCCAGGCTTAAAGAGTGACTAAGTGTCATAATCTTTCAGATTCTGCAGTCTCTATCTGACCAATAAGCCTGGCCTTTTTTTTTAATGATCTTATGTTTTGTTCCACATTTTTCTCTCACTTTGTCTAGGACTTTTTAAAAGTGATTTCTTCTTGAACAGTTAGTAGCAATAGCCAGGTACCATTAGTTCTTCACATCTCAGGGTCATAGGACCAGGTTCATGTGGCCTATTAGTCCTGTGGACTCATGGCATCAAGTCATTAAGTCTGTTCTTCCAGTAGGTCTCCTACTTGGCATTTGTATAATTACTTCTCAAGTGAGCTTCGGCCGTGTAGTTGGCTACAAGTTGAACCTGCTAATCATAAAGTCTGTAGTTTGAAACCCCTAGTTGCTCTGCATAAAGAGTTATAGTCTGGGAAACCCACAGAGGCAGTTCTATTCGATCCATACGGTTGCTGTGAGCTGGAATCAGCTTAATGGCAGTGCTTTGGTTTTGAGTTGAGTGTCCCCTACCAAGACCCCCTCCCTACCACCACCAGGTGGTCAGCCAAACATTTAGCTGGAGAGTGGAAGAGAAGAACAAAAGCCATTTACCAGCCTTTCTCCAAGAAACATAGAGCCTACTCTTGGGGGCCTTATGAGTTTCAGGCATGCCGTTTTAAATGAGCAGAGGTCGCTAGTGACTGGACAGTCCCCAAAGGAGCGCTACAAATGAATCTCTTTTTAGTATGATGCTGCTGCTGTTTTGGCACCTTTGATTTGGTCGCAGCGCATAGTGGCCCCTGCACAACAGAATGAAACACCACCCAGTCTTGTGCCATTCTCACAATTATTCTTATGTGTGAGCCCATTGTTGGAGCGGCTGGCTGCATTAAATTTGGTTCGCATTAAATTTGAAAGTCTACCTAAACTTGAGCCAGAATGCCTGGATGATATAGTCTTGAGATGAGGACCACGGCCCAAGCCAGACAAGCCCAGCTGTGGCTGAGGCTTTGGTTTCTGACCTGACCAGGCATCCACCTCAGAGCCCTCGTCTGAAAGAAGCTGTGATGGGATTTGCCAGGGCGTTCTCAACCACCCTGAAGATCAAAGCAAGGTACAAAGGAGTCCAGGCTCAGATTTTTTGGAAGCCATCGTGTTTGCTCCCCCCCCCCTTTTTTAACACAAATGAGTATAGATTGAAAAATAAGCCTCTTTTGACACCTTATTAGATTTTCCAAATTTTACCCTACTACAAGTTCCTTTGTAATCATCTAGAACTGTTCTGTTTTTTGGTCATCATGTGCCATCATTCCATTTTATTTTGAATTCTGTATCTATTCTTTCTCATTAAAATGATGTTTTAGAGATCATCTTATATATTTATACACGTATGAAACTGCTTAGAGCCTACCTCATTCTTCTATAAGACGCAGAATTTTTGTGTTAGGTTGGGTTCTCTAGAAAAGTAAAGCCAGTCAGGGTTATATGTATTATACATCGACAGATTTATATAAGCATGACTTACAAAGTGGTAAAGATAGGTAAGTGTGGTCAGAATCAAGTCAGGCTTTTCCTGAATCGTGGAAGCTGATGAGCAGCAAGCAGGATGATGAAACAGAGATAGCAGTGGGCACAGCCTGGTAGATGCAGAGGTCCAAAGTCAGCTGAATGAGTCCACTCTTTGTAGTTCACTGATGGTTTCTGGGATCAGGTGAAACTGAGGAACCAGACACAAGATGCAGCTCTGGCAGAAGGCAAGGTTTCAACACTCCGTGGTCTTTCTCCCACAAAAAGGCTTATGGCACTGAAAGGAGCTGCCATCAGGCTGCTAAGCAATTGACAAGCTGAATTTTGCCTTTACCCTTACGTAGGAGTGTCTAGTTGACACAATTAGTCCCTAATAATTACAATATTCCATTATATGTATGTGCTAAAAATGTGTTGAGCATGTCCACATCAATGGAGATAAAGATTGTCATACGCTTTTTGAAACCATCTTTTAATGAATCTTGAGCAATGGTTTTGCCTGTTTGTGGCAATCTGCTGTAAGCCCAGATGGCTAAAAGTAGGATCGCAAAATCAAAGGAAATGTTGATTTGAAAGTTTAGAATGGGCCCAGTTGCTCTCAAAATATTGTGCTAGAATGCATACCTCTAACACATATTATCAAATATTCTCATATTTATCAACTAAGTAAGTAAAATATTAGTATCTGCAAGGAAGCCCTGTTGGAGCAAAAACGATTGAAGAAAAAATTTTAAATCAAGGAAACCATTAGTCCAAATGACTGATGGACTCTGTGAACCACTAGCCTGAAACTAGAAAAACCAGCTGGTTGGTGCCTGGCTGTCATTGCTGATTGCGCTGATCAGGATAACAGCCTAAGGCCCTAGGCAGATTTGGAGAGAGATGTAGAACAAAATTCAAAATCTTAATGAAGACCAGACGTTTAAAAATGTACTTTGATAGCTACCCGAGGTGAGGGGGGGAGGGAGAGAGGGAAAGTCTCAGATGAGACTGCAGACAGATGGAAACGTGGATGTACAGAAAGACAACACATAACAAGAGGGAGAGGACAAAGGAATGGAGGCAGGCAAGACATCTGGAGGTGTGCACGAGTGAAAGACCACAGAGGTGAATACTATTATTTATTCACAAAACCCTGAAATAGTGGTGAGGTTGAGTAAATGCTGAGGTAAACATGCAGACTGAACAGGTGTGCAAGGGAGACTGGGAATAGACCTACGAATATGGGGAGATTTGACAGAGGATATTTGTATATGTGCATTTACCTTGGCTGCAATATATTCATGAATATGGTAAATCATACAAGAAGCAAAGTTCTAAATACTTCTTAGACATCACCAAAATCCCTGAGGGCGAGAGTCACTGGAACTGAAAGATCAGGATTCTAGTCATGGGGACCCAGGAGTCTGTTGGCATAACATAGTTCACAGAAACAAGGTTCCACATCGCAGTTTGGTGAGTGTCAACTGGGGCTTTTAAAGCTCATGAACAGCCATCTAAGGGTCTCTTCCCATCCAGAGGAAAGAAAAGAGATGAAAATTGAAAGGCAATAACAGCAATTAGTTCAATGAACTAATGGGCCATGCAAAAATCAGTCTCCATAATCATACGACCACAGCAACTTGCTGGTGCCTGGCTGCCATGATCCAAAGCTCTGAAAAGGATCGTGTTAGAAGATCCTGGACAGAGTCGTGAAAATGTGGAACAACAGTCAACCTCACAGAAGAGACCAGGCGTGCTGCTCAGATAGACACTGCTGGGATTCCCCAAGACTCTGGCCCTTAGTCGGCCCTCAGGTCGGGAACTGAACTTACTGCTCTGGTAGAACATCCCACCATTTAAGATCAGAAGAGCAGCTCTTACCCACAGGCAAAGCAGAGAAAGTTAGGGAAGAAGGTGGCATGGAAACAGGAAGTGCAAGGAGCAGGCAGTGTACGTGATGGGACATTAGGGTGATCACAATGGATGAGTTGAAACAAACTACGTATGAGTTGTTGGATGTAAAATGATGCTCTCCTTTGTAAGCCTTTGCCTAATTCACAATGACAATCTGTCAGGCTTCCTGTCTGGTTGAGACTGTCGGAACTTCCATGAATGGGGCCTTCGGATGTTCTTCAAACTTGGAAGTGACCGCTGGTGATCACCGTTCAATCAAACAATAGACAGCTCTACAAAGTGAACAACAACACCCGTGAAACACATCTTCCTCAGGACACTCAGCCATGTGAGACCAAAAAGGCAGTATTTGCCCCCAAACAAAGCTCAAAAGGCAAGAAGGGACAGACAGAGACTAATGAAAATAAGAACCCAGGGACAAAGTGGGAAGAGTTCTCTTACATTGTTAACTGGGGGGAAATACAATAGTCAGAGCAACACTAATTTATGAAGTAGTGTAACAATTACAGTAATTACTGTGGATCATCACATTAAACGGAGTCAATAGTCAGAGCAACACTAATTTATGAAGTAGTGTAACAATTACAGTGATTACTGTGGATCATCACATTAAACGTAGTCAATAGTCAGAGCAACAATAATTTACAAAGTAGTGTAACAATTACAGTGATTACTGTGGATCATCACATTAAGCGGAGTTACTCAGTGTAAACCCTTTTCACACAGCAAAGCACACCAAATGCATGGTTCAGTATCCAGACAAAACGAATTTTGAAAACCAGGTCACATCCATTAAGGGTGTGATTTGGATAAATTGCTTCATCTCTCCAGGGGCATTATTAGGATCAATGTCATCCAGTGTAGCAGTGCATAGCATTACCCTTCCCCACACTGCTATTGTATCTTCCTATCAAGACCTTATGGAGTACTTAGTGTTTGTTAAAATGCTGGTTATCAATTTTAGCCATAGAACAATATGTTATATATAGTTATAAACTTCTTAACTGTCATATTTTTAGAGTGTACAAATACTGGCAAGTCTTTTTAAAAGTTTTTACACTAATGTACATTATTAGTTACATTATTATTAATGGAGAGGAAGTCTCTTTAAAAATTGTCCCCTGTTTTCACTACTTAAACCTCGAAAAGGTTAGAAATAGACCCACACGTACTAATGATCGCAATGTTGTCGCTAGCACGGGAGACAGTGCTAGAAAATCAGTGATCATGTAAACACCTGGCAGCAGCTATAACAGCAGTGTGCTTGCAGCGGCATGTCCAAGAGACACCCTGACTTGCAGCACCGCTGTGCTCGGTAATGGTGACACCGGTGACAGCAGCACATGTGAAGGTTCGAACTGTAAATTAGCGTCGATTTTTAGCCTTGTCCATAGTGCTGGTTAGGTTTATAGTGCAAATCAGTGTTCCACTCAACATCCGTTTTGTTTCATGTCACTGATTGCAATCCCCACAGTGTAACCTGTGAACAATGTTCTTGTTGTCACCGCCAACTACAGGGGTGGACTTTGTACAGGCAGTCCCTGTGGTCTCACTCTGTCTAAGAATGTGGTCCTCCCTACCCGTCCTATAGATCACTATGAGTGGGCATTGGCTCCGTGGCAGTGAGTCAGCGTGTCCAGCTAATACTTCAAATACCAATCTCCACTCCTAGCCCTCGATGATCTATGATTTGGGAGAAATCAGTACAAATCAAACTGTCTTGAAATAATTAAATTTTTCTTTGTCCAGAATTCTGAATAAATGAGTGTGTACGGAAAATTTTTTTTAAATTAAGAGATGATATGTAGACCAGTTTTAGGTTTAATAATATACTTTTTAAAATCCCTCATATCCACAAGAGCTCTAGTGATGTAGCAGTTAGTGCTAAGCTGCTAACCTAAGAGTTGCCCGTTGCCATCCAGCATAGGGTGAAAGGGAGAAAGACCTGGTGACCTTTCATAAAGATTGCAGTGAAAAAACACACATTACAGGGCAGTTGTACTCGGACACATGGGGCTGCCATGAGGACCCAGTGACACACAGTAACAGGATTTCCTTTATATGAGCATTTCAATATGCCAATAGAACAAAGGTAGCCAACATAAACACGCTCCAACAAGTAGTGACATTCTTGTTTTTGCATTTCTCCTGTTTGTTGTTGTTGTTTTCTTCTACTCTATTGGCATTTGTTACATCTGGAGTGACAGGGCACTGAATTTTGGCTCTGCTTTTCAAGTGTCCCTTGTTGAATTCCACTAGAATATGAGCTTCAAGAGGACAGGGTGTCTTGTTTGGGTCCCAGTACTCCATCTCAAGCAGCTCTAATTGGACCTGGCCCAGCGGAGGCACTCAGTCAAGCACAGATTTGGTAGTGATAATTATGCCTTGCCTCTGTTTACAGGTCGATATGCACTGGTGGTCTGTGGAGACATCGCAGTCTATGCAAGTGGCAGTGCTCGCCCCACGGGTGGAGCTGGAGCCGTGGCAATGCTGGTGGGGCCCGAGGCCCCTCTGGCTCTTGAACAAGGTTTGTAGCAAACATGCAGTAGGTGCATGCTACCAAGAGGCATGGCCAATTACTAGATAAAATCAGAAGTCCCTGGGTCATGCAACAAAGAACCTGAATGGCATAGTGTGCTTAGCTCTTACCCGAAAGATTGGCCTCTTGAACTGACCACACTCTACTGGAGAACCTCCCTGCTCCTGTTAAGACACATAGCCACAAGACTCTATGGGGCAGTTCTTCTCTGCCTTACATGGCCCCTATGAATCAGAATCGACTTGATGACAGTGGGTTTGGCTTTTGAGTTGGATAGTGCCAGTGGTTAATGGGCTCAGTTGCTCTTCCTTGGAAGACAGATCTGGTTATCTACTTCTGAGAAATTAGCCATTGAAACCCTGTGGGGTATAGTTCTAGTCTGACACATATGGGTCGCCATGAGTCAGAATTGACTTGGTTTTGTGTTTAATCCCAAGCTGCCTTATTTGCTACTCCAGCCTGAGGTACAGTTTGGATGAAGGAGCAGAGAGCAGGGACGCAAGGAGAAGGGCATCAGGGAGATTCCCTTCTTGTCAATTATGATAAGATATGGAATGACTGGCATAGACATGGTCTCCAATGGTTAAGGAGCTAAATTGGTCATTGAAGATGAAATTGTATAAGATGAAAACCCTGCCTCTAAATTTCTCATTTTCACCCCAGAATTTGCTAAGCTCATGTAAACATGGAAGACGGAATAGAAATCTCATTCAGACAATGCAATCTATTTAACAACCTTTGGACAAGTGGGAGATGTTGACTGGGCTTGGGTTTGGGCAGGGGAGGGAGATGAAGACCAGGTCGGCAGACTTACATCATTGCTGAATCCCTCTGTGTTCTTGCCCAGGACTTAGGGGAACCCACATGGAAAACGTATATGACTTTTACAAACCAGACCTGGCCTCGGAGTATCCAGTGGTCGATGGGAAGCTCTCCATCCAGTGCTACTTTCGCGCCTTGGATCGATGTTACTCGTTTTACCGCCAAAAAATCCACAACCAATGGAAGCAAGGTATGGGGCTCTGAGAGCTGAAGTGGGGGATCTTTTTACAAGGGGCGAGGATGGGGCCTCTTCTTTCTTTACGTGTCAATGTTGTCGGCAGAACTGTTTCATGTCTCCTTCTTTTAGCACGTTCCTCTGTCACTGTGCTAAAATCCATTTGAAACTTACCCAGCTTCAAATAATTAATACTTTTAATTTGAAATAAAGGAAGGATATTACACAATCCAGGGCCTAAACCACCACAATGAAACCAGTAGGTGACACTGTCCTGGGAGAAACTGCTGTGAGGCAAAGTAACCTCCTAGTAGTCAGACTGCTCCATGTCCATATAAAATCAGGAGCAATTTGACACTTCTTACTTGCCACCTTTTAACGACTTTGGTTGGCTGGAGTGTTATTTGTAATTTCTTTCTAGATGTTGAAGTTGCAGGTAGATTTTATTTATATCTCTCATTTACCAATTTTCCTGCTTACATATGTGTGCCTATGTAAAATTTGTGGAAATTTTGAATTAAGAGATCATGGAATTTCTCCACAAACTTCAAAGCATCCTACTGTGTGTATGTGAATATACATATGAATTCACATACACATATATATATATTTCTTGCATACTCAGAAAAAAAACCTCATTTTAAAATACAGAGAATATACTTTAAAGGCACGGAAAAGGATTCTTACCGAGGCACTAGCAAACGTAGGTTTGGGTCTGGGGAAAGGTGCCTGCTGAAGCGGCAGAGCCTACCTGCCTCCTGGTGTTCTGGAGTTGGTCCTCAGTTCATGGCCCTCAACCACCACTGCCATCCCGAGGGATGCCTTAGGGGTGGCAAAAGGAACCTGGACTGGGTAGGGTGCTGACTGCCACAGTGACACCATGCTATGGTGTCAACGTGGACCCGTTCGTTTACTTCTGTCTTTCCACTATGAAGTGGCTATTGACTAATTGATCTCACATCCTCTGAATTCTTA